GTCCCTCCAGGTTTGTTGGGGACATGCTTCAAAAATGAAGCAATCTCTTCCCTTACTTTGGCTTCAGCAGTTCTGTGTGTCGCCGTGCAGACCCCTGATAAACAGGAAATTAACATCGAAACCAGAATGTATCAAATGCAACGTAACTAGGACCAAATGATTATCTTTTTTTATCAAATATACCCTCTGAAAATCTGACAGAAAATAGTTTTTAAAGGAGAACAAGGAAAAAACCTGAGATTACAAAAGCTACACAACAATTTATGATATTAAATTGAATTACAGCATCCCAATAATGATTAAACAGTTTGACAGACAAAACAGTTAGTGTCTCTGGGTCAGCGCATTTTCGTAGAGAAGTGTAAAATGTAGGTTTAAATGATACATGTACTTACGAACAACAATCATGCACAGAGGGTGACTTTCGAAGGAACGCTTCCCTTTCCAACCACGGAGACTATAGAACAACCACAGATGGAGTGTTCCCATCTTTCGCATCATGCGGCGAACTATGTCGCCGCACGAAGTGCCCCCTACTGCGCCCAGAAAGCGCAACTGCAAAGCAAAGGAGAAAACCCTATATTGTTTAGCAAAGATTACAATTGTTACCATAAATGCAATGTACATGCATGTTTAAGATACTTGTGATTAAAAAACGACTCTCGACACAAGGTTATTTCAGGGTCAGTGCTGAAATAAAATTGTGGAATAAAAAGATTTAATTACCATTTGCTTTCTAAAGGAACTATCTTGGAGCTTTTCTTTCATTTGTTCCATGTCGTCGATAGTGTCCATGGGCTCAGTCAGAGGCTCCTCGTACGGGTAATTAGAAGCACTGGCATCACCAGATGACACCAGTCTTCTAAGTAGGGACAGCTCCTCCTTTTGGTTTTCGATGATGGTGTCCAGCTTCATCAGCACAGTTATTTCAAAGTCTAAGGATTTGAACGAACAAATCATAATTCAGATCCAAAGTAATATTCTTTACAAGAGAAGACTTGACTGGTCCTTTGAGAAAAATAAGATGACTGAAAAATGGAAAGTAGAAAATGGGAAATTTCCCATATTTATGATTATGTTTTTCAAGCGATATTCAGTAGGGTGTAAAACATGGTCATATATTCTGAATTCAAGAGAATAAAAAACACTGAAAACAAATTTTTGCAATGAAAACATTTAGGAAAAAAGCAACGTACTGTAAAGTATTAACAACTTACTTTGGCTCCTTTTACCCGTAGGCCTAAATGGTGTGGATGTATTTCCACCTACATAAAGTAACAAAATATTACGGAGAAACGGTACATATTGAAACAGCCAGTTGGGGTATAGCTCAAGCAATGACATATACATATGACGTATAAAAGGGTTCAGACCTCTTGGTTCAGAAGCAATGTGCACCTTGTTAAATGACGTACAAACCACAAAATTAAATTATCATGTTTTCCGTTCTTATTTTGAGTTTTTAGGCTTTGTGCTAGTTAGACCAAAAATTATTTCTGATTAATATTACTTTTCTGGTTCAATTTAAACTTTCAGTAGGATGAGTAAATATCTGAACAAGCTGCTATTTTATACTCCATTCAATATTTACGCTAAAACACAGTTCCGTAATTACAGTAGAATATACTGATCCATACCTTCTGTGCATGAAGCATTTGAAGAAGTCGAGGGGACTGAGGAGGCTGGAGTTGTGCTGTGGGACATAGTCATTTCATCCATGTAAAATTGAAAAGGTCACAAAGGTAGTGAAGAAATGTGAGTGACTTTTTATATATTTTTATAAAATTCGCTTAACTCTGAGCGATTTGCCCGTAATACGTATCGGGACACTAAAATTTAGCAACGGCACTTGAACATAGACCACAGGTTACAGCAAAAGAAACAGTACATGTAATAGGCAGGAAAATTAAAGGCTCTACCTTGGTTGAGAAAATGGATGTTTACATCTGGGGGATTTGGTAGGGGCTTCGGGGTTGGTTGCTTCTTCAATGGTGCAATATCTAAAAATATTACAAAGGCGATCAACATTAGGCATAAGAGACAATTTCCAATATATGCAGCGTGCGTGACGTGTTGACTTCATAAGACAGTCATTGCTCTCAAACAAGGTTGATGCGTTCAGGAATTTTACTTACCATCTTTGCTGTCACTCCCCACCTCTGACGAGGAAGACGACTGATATCTAGCAGGTCGCTTTCGCGGACGGGGCTCGTCATCGCTGTCCACCGATTCGACATTTGACGTATCCTTTGCGATTTTTGCATTATGGAGTGCCTTTTCATATCTGTAAAATAATTTGCAGCACATTACACAGTGTTGCAAATGGCATCATAAAAATGTACATCATACAAAATGTACATGAAAGCTATCCAGCACATCCTTAATCCGTGGGATTGGCTGATGATCAGGTATGGTCTTTCAGTTCAAATCCCGGTAGTCGATGCATAGTCGCAGGCTACCGTCCTTCTTCCTGACGCAGACCATTGGTGATGAATATGTCGAGGTGGATTTAGTAATCCAATCCCGACTTGTTAGGTCGGCGAGGTATGTGCGGACTTCCTGGTACAGTGGACGTGGCATAGACATATAAGTCTTCCCCACAGGTTCTTCATCACGCTGCTTGATCTTCATCTGGAGGTCGGGTATGCAGCCTAGGTCGCTTTCGTCCTTGGCGAAAGCGACCATTACCGAAATTACCGAACAGGCGGAAGTAGAAGTCACGATTTCAATTTCGGGAAAAAGACTGTAATCGTCCATGACTACGAGGAGATGTTCTCCTGTGGGGAGATCACAGAAATCGATGCTGACTTCGAGCCATGGGCCGTCTGGGAGTGTAGACATCGTGAGTGGTGTTCGAGTGTCATTCGGGGTTGTCAACTGACATGAGAGACAGTCGCGAACCGTGTTGTCTACGAGTGTGTCCATGTTGGGAAACCACACTTTCTTACAAAGTAGCTGTTTAGTCTTTGTCATGCCTTGGTGTCCTTCCTTTGTTGATAATTGATTGTGCGAGTGCTTGTGGAATTACGATATGATTTCCACGCAGCAGTAAGTCGCGACCAGTTGTTGCCGTTAGTTCTTCGCACACTTTGTGTAGACTGTGTGGCTGCAAGAGTGATAGCACATTGGCCGTACAGAGGAAGGAAGGAAAACTGGAAACAGATTTGCCTGTTGCCTCGACAACCTTCGCCGAGCTTTATTAAACTCCGCCCCACTTATTCCACAATTCAATAAAAATCAGTTCACTTATATGATGAGATCTGAGTATACATGTATACAAAGTAATCCACCTGGGTTGAAAAGCTAACCTTATGAAAAAACATGTATGGTAAGAGGCCTCCACAAGCATCAAGNTTTTTCCCCATTGAAAATAATTTTTCTGTAATTTTTTCCCTCAAGAATCTTCTGGGCAAGTTTGAGTTGTCTGGCATCCCGCCTGCCCCCCGAGGTGTCCCACAGATTAACGTGACCTTTGACATTGATGCCAACGGCATCCTGAATGTGTCGGCCGTCGACAAGAGCACGGGGAAGACCAACAAGATCACCATCACTAACGATAAAGGTAAGGGGTGTAGGGGACTTTGACTGAGGCTGCATCAGTCTTGTGTCCGTGGCTTAGTCTTTGTCTTTGCTGGTCCCAAATATTGTGGGAAAAATGTTGACTGTAGCCTCAGTCCCCGAATCCAGTTTCAGACCTAGCTTTATAGCCAACAATTATGATCAGCAAATCATGCAGTCATGACGCAACGCTTTTTTACAAAATCCTCTTTAGAGCTTGGGCCGGGAAGGAGATAATTGTGGGGCAAGCATTCATAATTCATCATCGATATCCCATTAAGTTATACTTTAAAAAATATTCAAACCACATAATTTGAATTTGACGGGAAATTGTATGATTTAAAATAAAACAGACACAAGGATTCTATCTCTCAACAAAGAGGAGGTTGAAATTTACCAATGCTTCGAGCGCCAATGTTTGGTGTGGTTTGGTTCGACATGTATACATGTGTACGTATGTGCATGTACATGCATGCGGCCAAAGGGGCGATTTACAGATAACAGCATTTTGTTATTTGAGATTTTGCTAGGAATCTTGAAAATGCTATCACAGTGTATACGTACAACAGCTTGACCAAACGAAAGACAAGTTTATAGGCCACCTCGCCCACAAAATCTGGTTGCGCGCATGCTGGTCCGCCCAGTAAAATCAGCTTCTCTCTGGGGTTGCCATAAGATCGAGCATGAGTCCTACTACGATCAACGTGCATCCAATCAAACATCGTCTTTTACGGCTATTTATGATATCATAGGTCTTATATGGAACGTGAAGGAGGAGCTTTTGGAGATTGACGTACATGATGTTGTCTGAATATGCAAAAGCATAATCGGATGTAGTGAGAATATATCATTGTTGAGCCGCGGAAATGCCCGTACGTTGCATCTTCTCTGTTAATTATTAGTGAATTCTCACCACGTACGATTTACAACAATAGTGATGCATGCCATCGTGGGTCCGAACATGCACGTGTGCCTAGGTTTGCGGTGTCAAATTCGTCAAACTCGGTATCTATTTTTCATGGTGTTGGCTTTTTTTATCAAGTTTGGTTTGGTTTGAAAGTGCAATGTTTGATGATTTTTGGTTTGGTTCGGCGGTTTGTTTGCAACACAAAAATTTACTGAGGAGCACAACAAGACTACTTAAGGCCCAGGCTTCGAATTAGAAAAAAATTTCTACGTGCACCAGTGCATGCAATTTAAAAAGTTTACGTGCACCTCTGGAAATTTACATGCACCATTAGCTTATGTTAGAAAAAATTAAAAAGGAATAGAAAGTAGTACTTTATATTACCCTGCAAGTTTACCTCATAGCAAGCTACATACATGTACATGTATCTGACTACTTTATCTGTGATAACTGAAATAACTCACCTGATGTACGATAATGTGTCAAACTCAAATAAAAAAGTCACTTACCTTAATGTGTGCCTGACTGTGGGCTATCAACAATCGTGATCGTCATCACTAGGTTCACCATCAGAGGAGTCTGACTGCCATGATGTGTAGGGAAACTGTGGGCATGGCAGAGACTTTGACTTCTCCATGTCATTGGGCTCCCCAGGCTTGAACTGCTTACTTCTGGGACCATAGGGTCTAGTGTTCAGTCTGCGTTTGATCTTCCCCTCGTTTCTCCATGGGCACCACTTCATAATTGCCCCAATTGGGTCATATGTCCTGAAGTCTAGTCCACTAAGCTTGATTGTTAACAGATCTGTCAATGATTCTGTTGTGAGATGAGTGCGCTGATTATTCATGGTGACATTCATGTGACTAAATCCACGTTCCAGTTCACTTGTGTGCACTGGCAAAACCAGAATAATCCTGATGATGGGGAAGATATGGTTGAACCTCAGCTGATACTCCTCATCTGAGAGCACTGTTGACCACATGCTGATGGGGTTCAGGAATGTGTTCTGATGAGAGTTTCTTGTAACCTTTTGTTTTTGCTTATTTTGTGACTCCATTTCCAAGCAGCGTTTCTTCGACAAATGCAGTTTTAGCTCAATCCACTGTAGCTGGCATTGCGTTGGATCAACATGTCTGTTCTCTAAAAGTCCTCTGAAATGAGAGTACAAATCTTTTACATATTCTACCCCATACTCTGCGAGGCCTTCTAGTGATTCTGGCCAATTTGCAGGGTTTATTATGGCTGCTGCAGCCTTCATGACTCGATGAGAAAACAAGGGCTCAAATCTCTTTGAGATGTTGTTGACTGTTCCTTCAATAATCTTTGTGGCCTGAAGAGCAACTTTTTGTTTTACACTTACTGCACCCTTGCAAGTTGATTGTACGCTTTCACTGTCACTGCAGGACACAGTTGCATTACTCCTGGTGCTTCTGGGCTGTCTTGTTTCCAACTCTAGAGACCTGAATTTTGTAGGATTTTCAGGATCATCAAGCCCATTTATCAGAATAGCATTCAGTTCTGTTGGAGCAAGCACATTTTGTAGCTGTTGCTTTACTGCACAGGTTTTCTCAATGACAACATCTACAGTGGTTGTGTTTCTTTGCAAAACCAAAGACAGCTCAGCCATTATAGCCAGGTATGTAAGCATGAAGTTCATGAAGTAGATCAACTCTAAAGATTTCAGAGTTTTTAACAATTCTGTAGCAGTAAACCGATCTGTGCTGTCACCGGTTTGACTGAGATCCTCAAGGTGCACAATCACTGCTGGCCAATTGTGTGAGAATGAATTTAGTGCACGGTGATGATGAGCCAGCCACCTTGTCCCAACCAGCTTTACAGGTCTTCGTACTTAAATTTCAAGTGTCTTCCCGGTGGCTTGAAGGGCATTCCATTTAGTTCTTGATCGTTTGTATAGTCTGTAGACAGACTGAA